GCCGCTGAAAGAAGCAGATGGTTAGAAAGGAAAGGCTATTAAGAGGCAAAAGAAAAAGTATGTTACTAATGAGAAAATGAAAACTGGGAAAAAAGAAAAATACCCTGTGATATTAGGAAATGAAAACCTAGGTGCATCCAAATGTCATGAAGAGCAGATCCATGGAGTGAAAAGAAAAAATCGAGGCCATGAACAGAAACTGTCACTGACATTTAGAGTGATCAAGATAAATTCCGGTTTGTGTATTCAGTCTTAAAAACACGCATTTGGTCTAGCTATTTCACGTCTAAGAATTTATTCTTACGAAGTGATTAAGGGGGTAGGTGAGATTTAACCACACAGATGTGGATTATAGTTTACATTAGTAGAAACTTGGAAGCAATCTCATTTTCTAAGAATAGGGGATTGGTAGTCCTCCACCATGGGATTCACAGTAGCTTTCCCGCATTCCAGTGTGAAGAACTGCTTACCGGAAAGGAAAGAAGTCAGTCTGTGTCTACCGATAAGCTGCCATAAAGCGGTCAGCAGAGTGACGCAGAGCGGGCTTGTGTTACACCTGTCCTGCCCATCGGTGGTGTAGCAAGGTGGGTGGTGGGGCTGTCACCTGGGGCAGGTACTAAGAGGCCGAACTCTTTGCAGGGAATGTACAGGCAGTGAAATGAATACAAGTTGGGTTTTGGTTCATTACCATGTGCAGATAATGCTAAATGATTTCACTGATAAGAGACCCCTCCTCATAGGGACACAGAGCCCCTCCTCACTGCACACTCTGGATAGGCCGCTATGTGCCTTCTTTATGAACAGAATGCCCGAGGTTCACCTAGGGTAACGGTTGTCCCAAGAGACTACAATTCCCAGCCTCCCTCGCAGCTCTGGTGAGCCACAGGGATGTAACAGTGATGCGTGAAACTTCTGGGTGGGGCCCTAAAGGAAAGGATACTCCTGTCTTCTTTCCCCCATTTGCGCTCCTGAGCTATGGATGTGAAGAGCCAGAATCTGGACCATGAGGAGGAAGGCAGCACCCTAAAGATGAGATCTCCCTAAAATACAAGGAGCTTGACCTCTGAAGACTCAAGAGACCAGAGTTCTACATCAGTGGAAATATCAACTATAAGACCTTATGAATTTTACTGTCTGATATGGGCCCTAACAGAAAAACATCTGAAAGGATATATGCCCAGATGTTAAGTTATCATTGTGAATCTCTCTAGGAGGAGGCACGCTGAAGGTATGGGTATTATTTTCTTCTTGGAGTTTAGTGCTATTTTACTCACATATTATTTACATGTTAAGTGTGTACGTGTATACCTAGATATTTATCATTAGTATCTATTTTGTCTGGAATGAGAAGAAACTGTTATTTAAAGTTCAAATCTCCGCTGTGGTCATTTGAACTAGTAATAAAATTCATGCTTGTGTCTTGGGACATTGCACGCTGTTTATTTAGCCTTAGAGTCTCACTTTGGGGTCAAGAGCATCCACATGACACAGCAGGCAATGTGTGAGCTTTTGAAGAAGGGGTAGCCAACATTGATATCCTGAAAACCCAAGAAACCCTTGTAGGTGATGGGACTTCATGCTATCTCACAGCGCCTTCAGTGCAAAGAATTCATTTAGTCTGGCAGGATCAAAAGTCCTGCTTCTCCAGGAATACTTTGAAACACACACACACATATATATTTGTTGCATATAAACTTAAGTTCTTAGATAATAATAGTAATTTAGATGGTGCATTTGTTTTGGTGGCGATGGCAGATTGAGAATATTGACTAACAATGAGATAAAGGCAGCACTGTCATGAAAGGCTGAGGAACAGCTCAAAACACGGTGTGGGGGTAAGGGGGTGGCAGCCGAGGATGCTTGGCTCACAGCGGCCCTTGGGGTCAGGTCTCACCAGGAAAGACACAGACAAGTCTGGGAAAAGTCACAGCTATGAGCATCCACCCAAAATTAAACCCACAGCAAGAGCTAAGGGCCACCACAGGCCACAGCCTAATTGGGACCAGGCATTGGGCTATAAGTCACAGACTGAATATAAGACCCACACAGCCCTTTGCCAAAAAGAGCAGAAAATCCGCTCTTTTTGGGGATCAATTGCTATACCTTACCCATCATATGATAATAACTAGCAGAGAAGTTTAAATAAAATTATGGAGAAGTAGATTAGGGAGCAATTGTTTACTTGAAAGAAGTCTTGGAAAAACAGAGGGGATGTTTTATGTGCTCTTGAAAGATTATTCTCCAACTAGTGGGTGGGAAAAGGGAGTGCCAGGCGGTGGAACAGCATGAACAGAAGCCTAGAGGCTGGGCTGCGGGACCCTCAGACAGGCCTGGAAAGTGTACAGGGAAGAAGCCTTCAAAGTTCTTCCACGACGTATCTTTCATCATGGAAAAAATAAGGGCGTATTGAAGTTTTACACAGAAGCCCATTCCTATTGCTTTCTGCATAAAATATCATCCTGTATATCACAGGTGACTCTTCCCAATGATTTATGCATTGGGCATCTACAACTTAAGAAAGGGGTGAAAAGGGCAAAAATATTTACTCTTAAATTGACTACAGTGCACTCAGCTGTGAAACAAAGATGATCATGAAAGAAGGCCTACCAGATAAAAATAGTGGATCAGAATCCTGTTTGAATTCTGACAGGTTTGTGTCCTCACCCATGTGGACAGATATATATTTTTTACCCATTTGAATTAAATAACTTTAAATTGATTTATAAGCCAAAAAGGGAGGTTTAGAATTCCAGCAGATCTTGCTTATTTAGTTTTTGCTTTTCTCAGTGACCCTCTGCACACGGTCAGTCTCACACTGACAGCGTCTTGAAGAAGGTCTGACCTGACCAGCAGCTGGTGGAAGACAATGTCCTGTCACCTCCAAACTACGTTTATGCAGCACCCACCTCCGGACGCCATCACAGGCTCGTTGGCCATATCCCACGTTGAAAAACAAACCAAAAAACACTTATTGCCACAAAAGGTGCAAAAAGTAAATGAATCCATGTTGTCTCCTCCTATTTCCATGGACCCCAAACTTTGGATTCCCCCCACCAACTCTTCAGTGACAGGCTGCTGGCACCAAGGCCTGCTGAGGGAAAGGAGGGTCCTGCTGGGGGAGATGCGCCTTCTTGGGTGATGCACCTTCTTGGTAGATGACACGCAGACTGTTTCACGGGCGGCTTGCCCAAAATGGACTAGAGAAACTAGCAATTCCTTTAATTCAGCAACCCGCACAGAGCAGATTCAGAAATGGCTGAGTTTGCAAGGACCTCTTAGACCAGAATGTGATGCATAGAGTGTCCAACACTTCTGCACACAGGAGCTCGGAGTCTGATACTTCCAGTATATTCAATAGCAGCCGCTTCTTGAACCAAGAGCATGCATGCAATGTATCTTTGTGTCATATATTTTCTTGGGTTATCCCTACAGGGATTTTAAAAAAAGTTTCTGAGATTTTTCTTATAGCTAAATTTGACATGCAGAATATTATAGTGTCTTTTTAAGGTTGAGAATACCAATGCCAAATGTAAGGGTCAACATAAATTTCTGGAATGGAAAAAGCTCTGGAGGTCATCATTAACCAATTACTATTTGGATCGATTTTACTCCTGTTATAACATTTGGCTCCTCTGTCCTGGAAGTCTGTGTTGTAGACTAGATAACCTTTCATGTTAAATAATCTCTTAAACCTTTCAGTGAGGTATAAATCTATTCGAAAAAAACCACATCTTTATAAGCATATATTAACTTAGTGCCCTTTTGAACACTATTTTTCAATGCCATTTGCAAATATTATACATGTAATTTCCATTGCAGAAAATTTATAAATACAGAAATACAAAAATAATCCATCATTATTTTCTCTGGGATCTCACTCTGCTTTTTCAAGAAACACATATTTTGTACATGCAAATAGCATTCTGTATTTGCATATGACATATAACACAAAACTGGCCAGTCTGTGTCTGTATCATCTATACCTATATTTATGTACACACTTGTTTTTATGTTGCTTTTTCCACTTTACTTGTATTGCATATTTTCTCTACTCTCCAAATACTCTTTAAAAACCTGACTTAACATGTAGTAGAGATCCCAGGGACAAATGATACCCATCTTTACATCTGCAAAGCTCGCGCTCCGTGTAAGTTCCTTGATGAGATAAATCAGTTTCCAGGCCCTGAGGTTAGCCTCTGTTTTGGTGTTAGCAAAGGTGGGGACACTTTGATCTCCCGTCACTCCCTGTCCTGGTTGGGCCTGTGGTGAGGGGCTTGGTCTCTCAGGAGCTCCCCGGGACAGGAGGGGAGGCTGTTCTCATGCATCAGGTTCAGGGGTGCTGCCTAGCGGCCTTTGTTTTGCTACAGGGGAACCTCCTTCCAGCTATAGCAGGTGAGGGCCATTCTGTTCTCAAGTGGCCTCTGGCTCCAGCTGAACACTGTTCTGGATTCATCTGAATTGTCCCCCACGGCCACGCTTCTAATGCCATCCTGCGGAAGGGCTATGAATTCTCTGTTACCCCCATTTCCAATGGGAAGTGTGAGACTGAAAATCCAAACACTTCAAAGCCAGCGATTAAATACATGTTGGATCTTGAGTCTCCCTCTCTCTCTTTCCCTTCTTATATCACATCTCCTATTCCACCTATCCCTGTCACCTGGGTGGTGCCAAGCCCGGCTCCGACAGTGCTCTCGGTAAATGTGTGAATTAACACAGCGCCTACTCAGAGGTGGAATGTCAGAGCTTGCTAGGGGCTCAGGTGGCTTTTCTTTCTTTTTTAAGAAATTTCCTATCTTGGCTCAACTGCGAGGTGTGGGGGAAGTCATTTCACGTCCCATTGTCTCAGCTGTGAAATTCCCACAGGAAGATTGTGCAGATGGATGAGTGATTTTACCTCCTGATGAAAATGCAGGGCTCACTCTCTCTATATACAGAGGAAATATTAAAGTTGCAATTAGGGAAGGGGGTAATTGCATGCAGCTGCAAGCAGCCTGCATCACCTGATCTTGGGATTTCTTTTTCTTCTTCTTCTTGCCCCAGCAACCAGAGCTCTCAGCGTCCTTGCCATTGGCCTCGCCACAGAGTAGCCCGTCCAGCTCATCCGTGCCCATGTGCTGTCCCTGAGACGTTTCTGCCGCCAGCCGGTACGAGAGGTTCCTTAAAATGCACACACAGTTTTCAACGGTCTGCAGAACCCAAAAAAGAAAAAGGGGAAACAGAGGAAGAATGAATAAAACTAGCACTGAGCACTCCGTTCTTCCACCTGGAAAGGCATCTTTCTCCACAGACACGTTTTTCTTTGGAAGTTTAGCAGCCAGCTTCTGAAAGCACCCCTGACGGCCACAGTGCAAAACAATTAGAGAAACTTGGAAAGGTCTTAGGACCTTCCCCCGCAACAACGAAACTACTTACCAGAAGTTACTTCTATAAACATCTGTCTTGTTGATTGAAATTCACGTGTGAGAAGGGAAGAATGTACAACCACAAGAGATCCCAAATTTCCACTAACAGACAGCAGCACTCCCACCTCTGACTCCCCAGCGGGGGATTGGGGATCGGGTAATGAGGAGTCACAGACTTAGAATTTCGGTCAGCTCTGGTGGGTGACACATTTACTGCCCACTAGAGCATTTTCTGAGTGTCAAAGAGGCCACAGGTGCAAACCAGGGTTGTCCCAGGCAAGTGAGTGGCTGTGATCACTTGGGGGCGTAAATATTTTTAGTCTGCATTATTTTTTGAGATGGCTGACACTTATGTTCTCTTAGCAAAAAGATTAAACAGTGGTTAAGGACATATGTTGTGGAGCTGGACACCTGTAGAACCCTAGATGTCTGATTTAGCTGTGGGACTTTGGACAATGCACTTGACATCTCTGGGACTCAGTGTTCCCCTTTGTAAAATGGGCACAGCAGGACCCACACATTAGGTTGCTTGTGCATTAGGGGAGCTAAAATATGCGTGTGTGGTATGCAGAATAATGGCCCTCCCACAGGTCTACATCCTACTCTCTGGAACCTGCGAATATGTTAGGTCACATGGCTGGAAGGAGGCGGGAATTATTAAGCTAATCAGTTGCTTGGCAGAGAGGAGGTTATCTGGATTGTTCAGGTGGGCCTGTGTCATCACAAGGGGCCTGTATGTCAAAGACGAAGGCAGGAGAGACACAGTGATGTGAGAAGGATGTGGCTGGCCATTGCCGGATCTGAAGATGGTGGAAGGGGCCACAAGCCAAGGTATGTGGGTATTGTCTAGATGCTGAAATAGGGAAGAAAACGAATTCTCCCCAAAACCTCAAGAAGGAGCACAGATCTTAGGACATTTTAATTTTATACCAATGAGACCTATTTCAGACTCCTGGTCTCTAGAGCTATAGGATCATAAATGTGTGTTGGGTTCGGCCACCAAGATTGTGGTCATTGGTTATGACAGCAACAGGAAAGTAACAAGCACACAAGTGCTGGGAAGAAAGCAGGAGCACACTAAAGGTTCAAATGCTCTTCAAAGGTTCATATCATTAACAACGACAGGAGACGGCACAGTGCAGAGGTCCAGAGCATGTGACGTAGGGCTAATCAGATTGGCTTCCAACACTGGACCCACCATTTCATAATTGTGGGACCTTGGGCAAAGTGCTGAATCCTTCTGTGCTTCTGTTTCCTCATTTGTAAGCTGAGGGCCATATTAATAGTATCATGTACAGGGCTGCAGTGAGGGTTAATAAGCTAATAGATACAGCTCTTTGAATAGTGTCTGCTCAAAAGTGTTTGCTAAAATCTTCTTCTGATTGCTAAGAAGAGGGGTGAGCAAACTGCTGCCCATGGGCCTGATCCAGCCCACAGCCAGTTTTACAAACTTGCTGTTTTACTGGAGGACAGCCGTGCCCATTTGTTTATGAACGGTCTGTGGCTGCTTTCATGCTACGATGCAGAATTACATGGCTGTGACTGAGACAATATGGCCCACAAAGCTGGAAATATTTATTCTCTGACCTTCTGCTGAAAAAGTTTGTTGGTTAAGACAAAACTGGCTGGGCGCGGTGGCTCGCGCCTGCAATCCCAGCACTTTGAGAGTCCGAGGCGGGTGGATCACGAGGTCAAGAGATCGAGACCATCCTGGTCAACAGGGTGAAACCCCATCTCTACTAAAAACACAAAAAATTAGCTGGGCATGGTGGTGCATGCCTGTAATCCCAGCTACTCAGGAGGCTGAGGCAGGAGAATTGCCTGAACCCAGGAGGCGGAGGTTGCGGTGAGCCGAGATCGCGCCATTGCACTCCAGCCTGGGTAACAGGAGCGAAACTCCATCACACACACACCCACACACAAAAAAGACAAAACTGACGTTTTGACTCCAGGAATCACGGAAAGAGGGGGAAAATACCCAATTTTTAAAATAGGTGAAATAATGATGAGAAAAAAAAATAAACTGAGCCAAGTTTTATTTTAAGAATCTTACCAAGTTGGCTATCATTTTTCAGGCAGCTGCTACATAACGGCCACCCGTGAAGGCACATAACACAATTCCACTGCACAGGTGAAGGGGAGGAGAGCTGAAACTGTGAGTATCTCCCACCAGACTGAGCTGCTTCTGTGCAGTCCTGGGGTGGGACTGGAATGAGCCAGGGCTGCTGGGATCGTGATCCTGCACTGTTTCCCTCCATTGACTGGAATTTGGTGAAAGGTAGCGGGTGCCTTGTACTTATTACCAAGGGCGTGAAAAATCTACGAGGAAAACTAGTTTTCAGGAAATATCTCTGGAGCCTTTATCATTCCACACCTTTCTTGTCAGCTTTTCAAGGTGTCATGGGCTGCTAATCCTGCAGGCTCTGAGTCAACCTGATTTTCTATTCCAAGCATCCTCTCAGCATCAAAAACTGGACTGGCTGGCATGAAAGCAGGTAAACTCAGGGCAATGCATGAAAGAGAGAAACGATTCTCATTGAAAGGAAAATGTTATGGCATAAGTCAGAATGATTTTTAAATCAGCTCAAACTGATTTTTCTTACATCAAAGACTTGGAAGAATAAACTTCTTTCTCATTCCACTGTTCGTCTTCCCCAGAGGCACTGCTGTTCCTCTGTTTAACAAATGACTACTGGGGAATAAATCTGCAGTTGCGAAAAATGCTTTATAATAGAGCTGCAGCTGGGGAAATGATTTGGGAAGAAGCTGGAAGAAGAGAGAAAAAGTGGGGATGGGGTTGGGTGGGGAGGGAGGAATGGGGGAAGGAAGGTCGCAGGGACCACACTTAACTTTCATTTAAGCCTCCTGGAGTTTCTCAGTCTGGCTTGGTTTGGAAGAGTTACTTAATTCAAGAGTTTTTCTCTAACAGATGGGGAGAAAGAGAAGATAAAATCCCTGGGATCCCAGCAGGAGCAAGGCAGCTGGCAGCTTTGCTTGGGACGTCCATTGCTGTCAGCAGGGCTCTCAGCAGTTCTTTTTGATTATCAGGGTCATTCTGACTCCTTATTTTCTATCAGAAAGGGTTAATCTGGAAGTTGTAAGAGTGGTCTACCATATGTTATCCAGTCAACACACTGGCCCAATTGTAGGACCAGAGCCACAATCTTGTATGGAATCCAGTCTCTTTTATGTATTAACTTCTTGGGCCTTAAAAAGGAGGTGTACTCATTCAGCCCCATCACCCTCAAGTTGTCATTGTTAAAGCTCAAAAGCAGCCAAGCAGAGGGCTGAGTGGAAAATGATGGTACAATAATAATATGTTAAAACAATAGTAACAGGTGCTACATAAAAATAGTAGGTAGCACAATCCAGCCAGTGAAGCACCTGCTAAGTAACTGATCACACCTGATCCTTTCAACAGCCTTGGCATTCAGCTATGATTATGCTCCTTGTCAGAGTTAAGGTCACTTGGGTGTGACGCTCCAGCCAGTGGGAGGTCGAGATGGCACAGTGCACTGGCCCTGTCTTGATGCCAGCTCAGGGCTCTTCTTACTCCACCAGGGATACCTGAGTTTTCTAACTCCAGCCGTGAATACTCCCAATTATTTCAACTTCCCCTTTCGAGGAAAATTCGGACATTAGAAAAGATGAACTACAAAGTCTCCCAGGGTTTTAGGAGTCTGGTCATCTGAAACATCAGAAAGAAGATGTTCGTGCCATGTGGGTTCTTGGCATGGCTCCTGAAGAGTGCCTTAACCTTTGGTGCTGGTGACCACACTTGGCCGAAGCATGAGGCTGTTGACTCTTATTTTCAGCTGGAAGGCCCAGCTAGTATCAAAGCTCGTTTCATAACCATCACAGTAAAAGGTATAGTCTCCCAGTGCCTCGCTGTTTCACCACTCTGAATATGAGGATGCTGAGCACCATCGCCTCAGTGGTTTACTTTCAGGAGCTCTTTGAAAACGCATGCGTCTATTACTCTAACAAGCATTTGTAAATACTCAAGACATCTTGACTGGTCACTTGATTAGGGATTTAATTTTCCTGCCGATGATATTAAAAGGTCTAAAATGGTCACGTAAGGGCTTCTGTGAAAGGGGAATGCTTACTCTTTGGTACATCATGTTCATCTTTGAAATTAAAAACACACAGTCAATGAATGGATGTGAGCCTAACTGCGCAGAAGTTAAAAGATGACAAGTGGTGCTCATATTGTGGTGGACTAGTACTCACAGGGCTGACGTCTCAGAGGAACCTTGCACTCAAATCTTTGGGGAGTGAGACTCAGGCATCAGTGATTTTCTAAATTTCTTGGTAACGCTAATGTGTAGTCAGGGTTGAGAAGTGCTATGCTCACTTATACACACAGCCAATTCATGACTACATGGATAGAAACACATGTTCTTTACCTAACTTTGTAACTAAATTACATTATTCCAGATTCCCAATTAGAGAGTCATATTAAAGCTCTATCTACTATGGCAGGTTCTTAATCTAAGATACACATCAAATGACTTGATGAACTTCTAAAGGTACAAAAACTTGAGACCGGAGTTAAAAAGTTGGGTTCAGAGGACTGCAATAGGGTCTGGGCAGATGTATTTACATGAACACTCCAAAGGCACTTCTAATGAAGAGACAGAATGGAAATCACAGGATTAAGGCTGAGGTTCATAACCAGGGATAATTTTGCTATCCACAGGATGTATGACAGTGTCTGGAGATGTTTTTGTTTGTTACTAGGGTGGGGATGGGGCTGCTACTGGTATCCAGTGGGCAGAGGCCAGGGATGCCGCTAAGCATCCTGCAGCACATGAGACAGTCCCATGACAAAGAATAACTCAGCAAAAATGTCAATAAGGGTGGCTCTTGAGAAATCCTTATTAAGAAATCACATTTATTACCTGCATTGCTTTATGAGTATTGGTAAAGTTTGTGTTTGTAGCAGGATATTATGAAATCACTTTACAAACATACAAATGAATCAAACTTACTTAAGACTAAACAAAATAGTTCAAACACTGGAAAAGCCCACCCAATTCTATTCTGGCTTGTGAACTAAGCCACACTGAATAGACTTTGGTGATTTATTATGTTGGGAAGCCTCATTTATTTAGCATTGCGACATTTATTAGATCTTGCAGGCCTTTCTAAATGGCACTTAATGTAATTAACAGCTGTTAAAAATCAAGTTTATAAGACTATGGGATTATTCAAATCTCAGGGCTGGATGCAATGGCTCACGCCTGTAATCTCAGCACTTTGAGAGGCCAAGGTGGGCAGATCACTTGAGGTCAGGCGTTTCAGACCAGCCTGGCCAACATGGTGAAACCCCATCTCTACTAACAGTACAAAAACAAAATAGCCAGGCGTGGTGGTGCACGCCTGTAATCTCAGCTACTCAGGAGGCTGAGGCAGGAGAATCAGTTGAACCTAGGAGGTGGAGGTTGCAGTGAGCCTTGACTGCACCACTTCACTCCTGGGTGACAGAGCCTGGATTACAGAATGAGGCTCTATGTCAGGTAGTTTTAACATCTTGTCTTTTCTTTTGAAAGTAGATTACATTAAAAGTCAGGTCGTTTTAACATCTTGTCTTTTCTTTTGAAAGTGAATCGATTACATTAAATAAAAACCAGAAGCTTGTGAGCAATGTAGTATTCAAGTTTATACACTCAACCGGAATACCTGTGGTCTGAGTAACTTAGAACAATCTACATATTTACCCACGGCTAATCAGAAGTTAGGTATCTAGTTCTGCGCTCGAATCTGAAGGCAAGTGTAAAAAGTATTGGATTCTTACAAGGAAATCAGGAGAGAGTTCAGAAGGAAAGTCTGAAACACTGTGTTGGCTCTCCTGGGTTGTTAGCTATGGTTTAGTCCTGTGGGAGAATTTATTCTTGAACATGCTTAATCTATGCAAATACAACCAACCTTGCTATCGATCTCACTGCTCCCCAGTGCAGACTGGATCACGTACAGCAAGGCATCTGTGAGCCCATCACACTCTCGCATCCTTCTGCGAGCCTCCTCTCCGGCCGAACTAACATTCCTGTAAAGCAAAAGGATACGTCAGCAATCTTCATTGTTGTCACCAAAAGAATGTCTTTCCATATCCATCTGCTCTCATAGTTTTTTTTTTNTTTTTTTGATGGAGTTTCGCTCTTGTTACCCAGGCTGGAGTGCAATGATGCGATCTCGGCTCACTGCAACCTCTGTCTCCTGGGTTCAAGCAATTCACTTGCCTCAGCCTCCCTAGTAGCTGGGACTACAGGCGTGCACCACTATGCCCAGCTAATTTTTGTATTTTTAGTAGAGACAGGGTTTCACTATGTTGACCAGGATGGTCCCAATCTCTTGACCTCGTGATCCACCCGTCTTGGCCTCCCAAAGTGCTGGAATTATAGGCTTGAGCCACCGCGCCCAGCCTGCTCTCCTAGTTTTAAAGGAAATGCTTTTTTCCCCACTTTTTCAGAAGGTTTATCAAGAATATATCTTTAGTAAATAGGGATGGCTTCCACAAAACACATCCCAGAGTTGGGTAAGTCACAGATATCTATGATGCAACTCCTGCAGTAGACAATGCAGAATTCTTAACAAGAGATCTGTGAGTCCCATGACCACAGACGGCAGGGGACTTTCAGAAAGTCTCTAGGTTTACTTCATGTACAATCAGAAGCTTTTTCATTCAAAGGATTCTTCTTTAAGAGATCTCAAACACTTTCAAAAACAGGGTTTTTAACTTACTGAAATTCATCTGCCAGAAAAGATACCTATCTTGGCCCAACCAGAAGCAGACTTCTAGAAATTTATTCTAAGGACAGAGTTAGAGGTTCCTGTGACAATTTAGTTGTTCTGATGTGCATGATACCTCTTATGGGAAGGGGCTGCTCCAAGCTCTTTCCTGTTCTAGCACATGCTGAGCAAATGGCAACAGATGGGGCCCACTGTAATGAAATGTGTGGCTATGAAGCAGAGATATCTTTTAGTCCTACAAAAGACAGAGATAATCCTACTCGAAGGAAAGTCTTGGGGTGCTTTTAGTTACTCTACCACCTGAGAGTATGTTCTTCTCCTACCCATGGTTAGCGTTTGGTTCCAGTCGAGAATTTCTGCAATGACTTACTATAGACAATACAACCTATAAAAGGGAGGGTGGAGGAGGTGAGTTAGTGGGTGGTACAAAGGGATGGAAAGAATTTAGGGATCTTGGGGACAGGGGGAGGAAAAGAAGGATGGTTCTCAAACGTTGGGAGCATCAGAATCACCTCGAGGGTGCGTGCAGTACAGACTCTGCTGGCTCCATGCTGGAGTCTCTGATTCAGATGTCTGGGGTCGAGGCAGGTAACTTGCATTATCTGTGGTGATGCTGATGTTGAGAACTCAGACCCTAGCTCTCTAGGGAGGGTCTGGCTGGGAGGAGGGTTGTGTTCTTTGCTGACTGCTGGGGCAGCCATGAGGCAGATCCCAGGAATCTGTAAGCCTGGAGGGAATCTGGAGAAGTTGAATGAAATGAATCTCCAGCCCACTATAATTGACCCAGATAGTCTAATTTCATATTCACAACATCTTTTGCTGTTGTAGTTAATTCTATTTTACACATGATAAAACTGAGCCTCAGAGGTTGTCCAAGGCCACATAATAAGTGTGTGTCTCTGCTTCAGACGGCCAGAATGCTGGAGATCAAACCCAGCGAAGGCCAAGGCATGAGATTCTGGGGAATCAACCTATTTGCAATTAGCCTCCCGCTTCACACTCTCTTAGCTCTTTGAACCTCCTTTGCTGATCACCATTGGGTGTGTATTGGAATTACTTGGCTGTGACCTCAGTAATGCACTGGGACTTTCTGGGGGGTAGAAGGCATGTCATTCTTGTGTCTCTACCTAGCATTCAGCTGAGGAGGAGATGGAACAAAACCTGTGAAGATGGGAAAGAAGGCTTCAGGCCTGATGTCGAATATGAATGCAGAATATGATGTTTTAAGAATTAAAATAAAATAGGTTTCATGTTAAAATGCTACTGAACATAGTTTTTTGAGATCTAAAAAGTTCCATAGACGCGCTAAGATAGGCTCCGTCACCATTTTCGTGTAATGCTGGGAAAGATTATACAATTCAAATTGGTATTTTTGGCATTTGCTGATCTTCAAATATAAACCAAATTTCTCAGCTTCTTAGATAATATAACTAGGCAAATATTGACAGCATCTTTATGTAAAATTTTATAAATTCCATCTTGTGGTGGCCAACCTTTGTTTCTGACACAATCTGTGGTAGGGGCCAGAGAGGAATTAACTTTCTGCTAGGGAAAACGTGGTGAGAGGCATTCTGATATTATTTCAACCTAAAAGAATGGCCCTTTTAAAGAAGCATTTTAGATCATTCCCTCTTGAAATGATTTTCACCAGGTTGAGCTGTTAAGCTGTTAAAATAATAAGTCTGTCAAAGATTCCAAATCAGACCTCTTTGGCCAGAAGAATGTTGCCTGGCAATGTGTGATTATGTTTGGCTCTTTGCAGCATATTTCCAAAGTTACTATTTCCAAACAGCATTAATGAAATTCAGGCTGGAAAGCACCTTAAGGCAGTGTGTGTATACGCTGATCTGAAAAAACCCTCTGCAACTCTTCCTTGACTAATGTGTTCAGCCTTTCCTTCGAGTATCCATTTTGTGGAGGCAGGCTGCCTTCTGATTCACAAATTAACTTCCTAATGATCAGCCCTAATTTCATTGGTAATCATTAAATATGTGGGACCAACCAATAGGAAATAATTGAAACCTTCTGTGATGCTCACTGAATGGTTAGTTGTAATCATGGTCCTTAGTAAGTCCTTTGACAATGAATCAATGTCCAATCAAGAAAGTTCCTCCCTCCCATTGTATTTATACTATCTTCTGCCCATCACGAGGAAGGTGATTTCCACATCTGGTTAGAAATGAGTGTGGCAAAATTCTATGCATAAACATAACATCAGAAGTTGTCAATACTAATTTTGGCATTTTTCTTTATTCTAATTTCTATTCTATTATAGTCTAGTCTCCTCCAAAATTTGAAAAGTTATTAATTGGCTACTTATTAAAATGTGTAAGATATTGAAAGATGAGAAAGATTAATAAAAGACCTCTGCTTAGGGTCTCAGCAGAGAAGGGGAGTGACTGAGATACATACCCACACCAACACAGCACCGATGATACGGCCTTCAAGAGGGAGTTATCATACTGTCCACGGGCATGATGAGGCTCAGTATACATTTTTACATAAACTGTCTCTTTTCAATGGGCAATGGTTTCCTACAGGCCTTTTGGCTTGGGTTTCTACTTTTAATGAACTACACCTCAGTGCATGAAACATATCTTAGGAGAATCTTTGATTTTCACATTGGCGGTAAGGAGGGGTTCCTGTTTCTCCCATTTCCCCGTAAACGCAAGTTCTACTATTTCAATCAGAAATTTCAGCCTTTACTGTTGTTGGCTAAGACTTTTTATCAACATGTTAAGGCAAAATCATGTCAGCTTAGGGTTGAAATATTATAATCATGTTAACAGTATGTGATAAAGCTAAAAGCATCACAACTTGAACACAGCTCAAATTTTTGTCTCTACACGTTTACTACGAAATTTAACAAGACGTTTCATTATATAAATATAAACACCCTGATAACCTTCTGTGATGCTCACTGAATGGTTAGGTGTAATCATGGTCCTTGGTAAGTGTTTGACAACGAATCAATGTCCAATCTAGAAAGTTCCTCCCACCCATTATACTTAAACCATCATCTGCCCATCACAAGGAAAGTGATTTCTATGTCTGGTTAGAAATAAGTGTGGCAAAATTCTATGCATAAACACAGTATTAAGACAAATACCTGTAGACTATTTGTTAAAAGCACAAAAATATGTATAATATCTCATCTTTATTAGTAATCTTTACAATCGTGGCTGAATTGTCAGTTTCTGTGTCTTTGGGAAGTTCCTGCTAAAGGTAGATTCTATAATCTTTTTATCTGACAGATAAAATATAAAACAATTCATTTTTATATCTTCCAATTATAAGACCAATTTTTTTTTCTTTTAATGCAACTAGTTAAACTGCTTCCTTTCCCCTGTCTTCCGTGCTGTTTGAAATCTCATTTCCTTGAATCTCCACCACTCACTGCACTTCAACACACAGTGGTCTCCTAGGACCCAAAGTAAAACTCAAACCATATGTTCACCTGTATGACTATGGCATCTTCCAGGAACGATGTGTCTCTGCTTCGGATGGCCAGGATATTGAAGATCAAACCACAGAGAAAACCAAGGAATGAGATCGTGGGTAGTGAATGTATTTGTAATTAGGCTCCACTCTTAGCCCTTTGAACCCCGTTTACTGATCGTCATTGATTTTGTAATGGAATAATTTAGGCTGTGACCTCATTACTGCACTGGGACTTTCCGAAGATTAGAAAGCATGTCATCCTTATGTCTAAACCTGGCATTCAGCCGAGTGTGCGACATACAGTTGGCTATTACTGAGAATTCAGCACTTCCACTGGATTGGAATTCAGGGAAGCAGGGGCACATCAACTCTGACTGATTGACCTCTGAGCTCCATGCTTACAGAATAAGTATCAGATGTTTGTTCCACTATTTGAATACCTGCTTCTTAAACTGTACTTTGTGTTACAAGCCCCATCCTGAATTATTTGGGCCAGTCTCAATTTGCAAAAAAAAGAAAACGGAATTGAAGACAGCATACAGCATCGAGAGTAAAATTGTTTAGCTCGAGATATAAACTATCTCATGATTGTTCATAGTATTGACTGAGTGCTGAAGAGAACTGCACAGTTTTGTGGCCTGGAGCCATCAGATATTTCCCAGTTTCACACCCATCTACAACCTCAGGCTTGGGGGAAGAGCTTTCATACCTTGGTTCAAGGCTAGGTTGTATTCCTATGTCTCTGTTTCCTCCTCTCCTCTCTCCCTTTCCTTTTTGGCCTTCAGAATCTGGACTCCATTGGAGTTGTCTCATACTAAGCCCACCACATGTCCTTGAGCCCTGATTCCAGCCCTG